CAGAAAGAGCCTGGAGGACTGGGGATTCAATCCTGCTGCTGCCTCTCACTAGCTGTGCTTTGCTAAGAGGGGGAAGAGGGAGCGTAGGATGTGCCCAGACCTCACAGAACATGTCCTCCAGCTCTTACATGGGCTACAGACCTTGAGCATCTCTTGCCCGAGGGCTCTCTGGGGCCTTAGGAGGCCTGTCATGGTCCCGGGTTGGCCCAGACTTTCCCTGACAGCACACAGGGCATCAGGAGCTGCCTTTAGGGTGGGTCTTAGAGGCAAAGGATCCTAAAGGGACAGAGGTGGCCAGAGCCTCAGAGGTCCTCCAAACATCCCCTCCCTCTGCACATGGGGAAACTGAGGCCAGAGAGGAATTGACCTGTTCAAAGACCCTGAGTGGATCAGGAACAGACCCGAGATCTGATCTCAGACATCCTGACTCCCAGCCAGCAGGAAGCTGGGAGCATAATTTTGCCTCAGTCCTGGAAAATTTTTGTTCTGGCTGCACATTACTGTCACCCCCACCCCAAGGAGACCCCCAGAAGGGAGAGGGAGCCTCCCACAGAGGGCCTTACCTGCAGGTCATGGGCATTGCCGTATCTCAGATCCGTGACAAAGTGCTCACAGTTCCTGCTCAGAACCGGGTGCTTCATGTTCTTACCAACCAACCAGTTCCCAAATTCGACGATCTTCTTTATGGGCCATGGTTTGTACAGGTGGTCCAAGTAGTTGTTGACCTTAAAGGAGCAGTTTCCCACCACTTCCACCAGGAGCTGCCATCTCACCACCCCTAAGCCAGTGGGGGCGCCAGCCTCAGAGTTCTCCCCTGGAATCAGACACAGGATTATCAGGAACTGCAGGGGGAGGCCAGGGAGGGAGAGAGAAGACACAAGACATGGAAGAAGGGCCAGGGGATGACACTATTGAGCTTTGGTGTCTCTCCCTTCACCAATGTGATTGGAGGATTCACGGATTTTACTCTTTTCCTTAATGACCTGTGAATACTTTTCATGTTAATCAATGGTGTGATGGTCATCGCCTGCCATTGTACTCCATGATATGAGTGGACATCATCTAGTTGACCAAGTCCCTATTATTGTCTGGTCCTAGTTTATCCATTGTAAACTGTGGTAGTAAATGGTATTTGTTCATCTCTGCACTTGTATATTTCAGAAAGAGATTAAAGTTATTTTAGTCCCCACTGTATTTCAGACACTCTGCTGTACTTTTATTACATAGGATTATTACACTCATAATCCTATGTAATAAAAATACAGCAACCGAACCGCAGAACGACCAGAATGACTGGAACAACACCGGCCCCTCACCCTGCGGCCTCCCCGCCTCACCCCCCCACGCCTAAATCACTGCCTGGCTCCCTTGTGCATGTGAATTTAGTGAAAGCACAAGAAACTAATTATCAGTTCCTTCTGTCCCCAACCAGAGTCTCCAGAGGGCTCTGCTAATACTGCAGCCAACGTGTGGAATTCTCCCTCCACAGCCCGCAGCCCTAGGAGACCTTCCAAAATAGCCAAAAGGGCAACCTAAGCATTAAGGGGATGGCAGCCCTTTGCTAGGAATGTAGAGAGGCTGGGTGGGGATTTTGTGAAATTACGGTGCCTGGCAGATTAGGTGAGCTTTCAATCTCTCTTTAAAAGCGGTGGCAAAGAGGACCCTCAGGCTGCCAGGAACTACAGCGAATGGTAGGCACATTCACAAACAGAAAAACTTTTAAACAAACAGACATGAAGATCATATTGGGAACTGAGGGCAGAGCCCCGGGAAGAACGCAAAAATCATTCAAGGGCCATCATTCATCTTGATATACGTTTGCAAGCAACACAAACAACTTCACCTCATGGCACGAGAAATGCACAACAGTTCTGTTGTGGGTTTTCTTTGTGCCATCCTTAAAGAATAATTACATTCAGCTGGGGAAAAGCTATAGCTTCCTGATTAGACCCCACGGCCAGCCCCGCCAATGGGCCCCAATCAGGGTGGGGCCGCAGGACCCCACACGTGCACAAATTCGTGCACCACGCCACTAGTTTCATAGTCCCTCACTTATTCTCCTTTTGAATTTCATGGTAAATACTCTCATCTCCATTTGACAACCGATATTGGACCCTGAGGCATCATCAGCCTTTTCTGGCCCAGCTCTGGCCACATGGAGAGTCCACACAGCGCTGCCAGCTGGTGGCGTCCAAATCCCATTGACGTGGAGCCCGGGATTTGCTCTCTAAGAGGAGGGAACTAAAGCTCTGGCCATGGAGAGTCCACACAGCGCTTCCAGCTGGTGGCATCCAAATCCCATTGACCTGGAGCCCGGGTTTTGCTCTCTAAGAGGAGGGAGCTAAGGAGCATGCTAACCAGCGGGCTCCCTTTATGTGCTGAGTCTCGAGGCTCTGGCTGCACTCAGCACCCGTCCTTGAGGAAACACCACCTGCACTCACACAGCAGGACCCGGTCCTCACACTCACGCTCCCTGTTCCCAGCCTCCTAAGTGTCGTCTGCATTAGGTGGGTTTCGCTGACTATTGGCCGTCCATTCTGACAGTTTTCCACTCTGTCAGTGTAGGTGACAGCGCACAGAACCTGGTCAGTGACCAGCAGATTCTTCTGATCGGGAGACGGTTTCTGTCCAGCGAGAAGGCAAACGCTTGCTGTCCGAGGTGTGGGTGCCCC